ACTTTAAAAAAAACTAAATAATAAAGAATCTGCATGATTTTTTCATTGTTTTTTTCACAGTGCACGAATGTTTCCTGCACTGTGAAAAAAACAACGGTACCTAGAGCCATCAAATTTGGAATAACGTAGTCTTCCAAGCAAACATGGGCATTTGGAATCCCGAATTTTGAATTAGTTTTACTATCTATTTCAAATTTTGTAAAATTTTAACAACTTTTTGATTAACAAACTCAACGATTTCTAAACGAGCAATGGCAACACAAAAAAACAACAAAACAACAACAAAAAAAATTTATCTCCAGCGCGCGAGACTTTGTATCGGAAATTCTAAAGATACGCTGCTTTTAAATATTTTGGGATATTACTGTTGAATTGAATTTTATATAGTTTAAGTGCGAAGAACGTGATATTTAATAAATAAAGGTAATGCACAAAACGTTAAAAAACGTCTTTTTGGGTGTAATATAAAATCTGAAGGCTTTCAGTTTTTTTTTTTTTTTTTCTTTTATTTATTTATTTATTTTTGTATAAAACTTTTAACATCTAGTGATTTTATGTACTTTGATACTGTCTAATCTAAAAAAAATGTTACACAAGTTGCCTGTTTCCTCTACATTTATATATTTTGGTTCTAAAAAATTAATTTATTATCTGAAAACTTCACATTGCAAATTCCAGATTTTTAAATGATTTATTTTCACAACAACGGCATTTTAAAAGATTTCAAGATATGTATAAAAGATATTTAAATAAAAATAAAAATAATACATTATCTTTCATCTTTCAAATAAAAAGATATATTTCTTCCATCTTTCATATAAAAGATATCCATCAAAGCTATATTTCTTTTACACACTCTTTTGCCAAAAAAAAAAAAAAAAAAAAAAAACCCAAGGACTAATAAGGACTTTTGCGATCTTGATGAAATTTGGTATGCAAAAACATATTGATCGAACATGCAAATGATTGCAAAGTTTCAAAGCAAATGAACAGGAATTGCGATCATAGCGCGCATTTCTAGTGCGCAATTCGCAAAGTATAAAACCAGTAACAGAGGCGGAAAATTTATCTTTTTTTGTTACTGCCATTCTAATTCCGTAAAGAAGCAACTAAAGATGCCATTACGACGATATTGAAGACCCTTACAGACAACTAAACGACTTCGAACGTGTTCGCATTGTAGGCTTGCGTGAAGCTGGGTGGTCATACCGAGCAATAGGCCGCCACCTGCAGCGTACAGACACTGCTGTGCAAAGATGATGGCAGCAATGTTTGCAAGGAAACTACCGACGATATGAAGGCTCTTGAAGGCCAAGGAGGCCAAGGATGCGAGGCAAGACAGGATGATTGTTCACCAGGCAAGAACCGGCCCAACAGTAGCATTGTCGACTAACAGCCACATCTATACCTCCCGTGGTACCGTCCACCATCTCACGGCGCTGGTCTTAGGCGGGGTTATGCTCACAGATGCCTTTAAGATGTTTACCTTTGACCCCACAATATCGGTGGAGTCGTCTGGAGTGTTGTCGCAGCCGATTATCATGGCTGCCATCAGCTGGCATTGTATAGTGTTCAGCGATGAATCCCGCTTCACTCTTCAAACAGATGACCACAGTGTTCGTGCCTGGAGAGGACGGGGCCAGTGGTCCCAATCAGCCTTTGTTTTACAAAGGCGTACAGCCATAACTCCTGGTGTGATGGTGTGGGGCGCTATTTCTTATGACAGCAGGTAATCTTTAGTCATCCTCCGTAAATCTTTAACAGCTCAACGATATGCTGATACCATCCTGCGGCCGGTTGCATTACCCTTCATAGCACATCATCCTGAGGCTATTTTCCTACAAGATAATGCCAAACCACATACCGCTCGCATATCTCTGGACTGTCTCCGTGTGGTTGATACTCATTCTTGGCCAGCAAGGTCACCAGACCTTTCACCAATCGAGCATGTCTGGGACATAATAGACCGCCAGATTCGGGCACCACAAAATATCGCAGATCTGAAGCGACAGCTTCTGAATGCCTGGCAGAATGTGTCGCAGGATGACATTAGGAACCTCTACCACTTCTTGCCTCGACGAATTCAAGCATGCATTGCCGCCAGGGGCGGTTCGACCAACTACTAATTTGAACACTCAGTGGGTGATTGCGAGCCGTGAACAGGTACTATGACCTTAACGTTTAATAATTTTATTATCTGTGTATGAGCTATACACATATTCAATTTCATCAAAAACAACCACTTCCTTCATGGTGCTTCGATTTTTTTTTGCAACAGAGTGTATATTAAAGATAAATAAAAATTTCCAACAAGATTTTTCGTGTTTCTGATCACAAAGTTTTATTGCTAACTGAAAATAATAGCATCTTTTCCCATTTTCTTATTTATGTTTTCTTTTCTTACGAAGAAGGAAAATGGAAAAATAAGAAACTGTGAAAAGTAATACTGTTTTTCCTCTTCCATTTAAAAGAATTCTAAAATAACAATGTTATTAATAACTTACAAAATTTAGCCTTCGTTTGGCTTTCATTTTTTAATAAAAAGCAACACTGAACTTTGTTTCGCATTTCAATTTTCTAACGTTCAAACTAGTACGCAATTTTTGATTTAATAACAAATGTTGTTATTAACAGCTTTCATGAGAACTTTAATGATGTATTAATTTTAAAATTAACATATTCTGACTAATCTTCAATAATTTAATAACAGTAATTTTTTCAAACATGTTACTTTGTTCACGACGTAAAGCAAATACATAAATAGAAGTTTTATACAAGCATATCTTCGTCACAATTCAAAATCGAAACGTACACCAATATTAACTTCAAAGTTACACAAAACGTCATTTTATATATTACAGATTTCTATTTTTTTTTTTAAATAGTAAAAATTTTCTATGTCACTTTACAAGAAATACGTAATTTCAATAGAAGAATTAAAAATAAATAAGCACTACAAAAAGGAGAAAATCTCTAGCGCCATATCTTGAACAAAATAGAAAAGAAAGGATAAAAAATAATTAAATAAAGCTTTAAGCCTTTCACACTTAGTCCTACAAAGACTAACTTTTCTCCAATAACATAATTTTCGTGAAATTTGAAGATCACATTTATCTGGTACAGTGTTTATCTTTTATTTATTAAGAATTTAAGTTCGTATTATTGCGCATATATAAATAAATAAACATTAAAAAAGTTCAGATTTTATAGCATACCCAAAGGAGCGTTTTTTTAACGTTTTGTGTGTTACTTTTATTTATTAAATATCATGTTCTTCGCACTTAAACCACATAAAATTCAATTCAACGGCAATATCACAAAATATTTAAAAACAGCACATCTTTAGAATTTCCGATACATAATCTCGCATGCTGGAGATAGTTCTTTTTTTTTTTTTTTCTTTTTCCTGTTCAGTGTTGCCATTGCTCGCTTGAAATCGTTGAGTTTGTTAATCAAAAATATGTTAAAATTTTACAAAATGTGAAACAGATAATAAAACAAAGTCCACATTTCAAATTCAGGCTTCCAGGTGCCCATGTTAGGGTGGACGATTATGTTATTCAAAATTTGCTGGTTCTAACGTCGTTTTTCAACAATTCGAGAAACGTATATACATTCACGCAAATTGTTCATTATCTATTTTCTTTAAATATAATACAGGACGATTACATTTGGTGACAACTATTTGAAAAGTGATTCAGCGCTTTTAATGATTTAACGTAAAATTATGGGCTAACGCTCTTTGGGCTAAAAATACAGTAGTTAATATTGTTAGGAAATGCCCAGCTGCGGTAAGATAGCTTCCCCGCAAAGGGGATTTAGGGTTGCCATAAAATGACAAGGATATGCAGAGTTGCCAGATTTGGCGTGAAATCGCCCATTTGGCGACATTTCGCGACAAAATTGGCAATATGCCATAGACGGATGGAGAACCTTCTGGAACGAATTCTTACCGGTTTGGCCCAGAATGTTCTCGAACGCAAGCCAAACGCTATCTATATAAACCCTGCCTGCAGGCGGAGTCAGTCAATCAGTGCATAGTCTAGCGAGTTTATCGTCAGTCTGTAGTGTATCGTTAGAGTCTGTTAGTCGATCGCGAGTCTATCGACTATCTGGTACTCTATAGATGTTTATCGTCAGTTCTATTGTCGAGTGGGTGCATCGAGAGTGTGCACCGTTGAGGCCATCGCCGAGTGCATCGCCAGTTGTAGCGTGGAGAGTCTCGAAAGTACGTTGAATTTCGAGAACGACCGTACCGAGTCGGGAGTTGTACTCTGGTGCTTTGTCGTGAAGCTGTCTTTACCGTTATAGCCTAAAGCTTGTGTTGCTGATTGTTTCAGCGTGTGTGTCGTAGTTTTCCGACGACCGTAAACGTGTTTTTGGAGCTGTGGTGAGTAATACCGGCTAATAAATTGTCTCCATTCTTCATCAAGTGTTGTCGTTAATCACTCCAAATCCACGAACCCGTACATAAGAAAAACGTAACAATATAATTTTTTTTTAAGTTAAAAATTTTGCCTATTGAAGAATACAATTTTTAATTTATGCGGAGACAGGCATGGTGTTGGTGTATTTAATTATGGCAAAGCACACTAGGGCTATCTGCCTAAGGGGAGGGATGCCTTCGTGGAGGACTTTCTAAGGGAAACTGGCTCGTATACACGTTACACATGGGGAAAACCACGAAAACACCCATGCAGCCAGCCCGTTCGCGGGATTCGAACCTCGGACCGAACTACCAGTGTTCAGCGACTTTACCGCTCGGCCGCTAATTTATGCGGAGAAAGGAGATTATTACTAATTACGGTTTCCAGAATCCATCAGACTTCCAGTTACATTATTAATATATTGAATAGGAACAAATAATTTTTGGTGAAAAGGATAGTAGAGTAGTTAACCATCTTATTCAAATTTCGCATGATCAGAATCATAGACTTCTCAGTTTCAGTTTCCTAAGAGGTTTTTATAATAAACAAAGATAAAAAATATATTCAACTTACATATAATATCTGTTACTGCTCCTATGAATACATTGTTGCATCCGATCTGGACTCTTCCTCCATTTGGATAAAAATCCGCATGCCCAGATGGTTCGAACATTCCAAGTCCACCCTTTAGAAAGCTGTTACCATTGGAATGGATAACGTCTACGAAAGAAGCATCGGTCGGATCCAGTCGAATTTTTGGATCGTATCCTTCAAACAAGGGTGAAGCAGGATCAAGGCCTAAATACAGATACAAAAACAATAGTGTTACTTTTCATGTGAAGGGGGACTACTTGTACATTATTCAAGCTAAATTTAAACTTCTTCATCATTGTTATTTTCTCGGAAATGATACATGCAGCATATAAAATAAAGAGTAATAAAAAAAAAAGATTGATGTCATCAAATTACGACGGAGATAATAAAGGGTTTGAATAAAAAAAAGCACACTTATTTCGTTCTATGTCACAGAAGCAATTAAAGAGTCTCTTCGGACACTTTTTTTTGGGGAAGGGAATGCTATTTTGCAATGACAGTTTGATTATTGCCCTTAATTATGAAGAGGTCTTAATTATACATTCATGAATGGGGAAAATTAAATTAAGAACAGACTAAAAAACTTACAATTTAAAAAAGTTATTTTGGAATCTAATACATCGAAAAAGGATTTACTATCACAAAAAATATTTAAAAAATTTTAAAATGTAATACATAAAGTAAATAAATAATTCTGTGCTAAATATATAACATATGCCGTAACTCTTAAAGACACACATTTTATTAATTTATTACTTATAAATTCAATTTTTAATACATCCGACTTCATTCCATGTCAATAGGATATCTTATTTAAATAAGTAAAACAAAAATTTCAATTATTAAGAATTAATAAAATATATAATAAATGGGAGGATTAAGGGAATATCACATCCATACGATACAAAATGATTGCCAGAAACTTTTACATGCATCTCCATTTAACGACTTTAGTTGCAAGAAAAGAAAACTTTGATACAAGTGGGAAAAAATCACTGCAGCAAATCCTCGGAATAGCATTTACAGCAGAAATTCATTTGGTAGTACTAAAGAAGCCGTTTCTATAACACGTTTTTGCGTATAACCCAAGGGATATATTTTCCATTAGTAAAAATATAAATAGGTACAACACTCTTTAACAAAATTATTAAAACATTTACATACTATTTCTGTTATGAAAACTAACGTAGGGAACTGCTGGTACTTTTTTCCCTCACAAAGTTGCTCTGGTGTGACTTATCTCACTTGTCTGACAGTAACATCAGATGAGATCCACGAATTTTATCGTGGCCAAGAGACAAAGTCTGCTCTAGTCGTTGTCTTAAACCCTGGGTACTTATAGGTTGTAAGGATCTTAAGTTTTACTAACGTTTATTTTATTTTAAATCTTTACTATCACTTCTTATTTTCTACTTCCGGCCAGAATTATAAGCGTGAAGGAGTTTATGCAAAGTTGTCTGGCGAACGCCAAGTATTTAAGTGTGGCCTTTTTCCCAAGCAGAAGAGAGGAAGCCGTGAGTTCGAAGCAGGCCGCTTACCTTAGAAGTTACGCAGTTGCTACTTTGCCTTCCAGGCCAGAGGTTTTAATCCTCTTGATAAATTAAACGTATTGTAGTGTTCACAGTCTCTGTGCTACATACGCTTTCTGTTATTAAGGCCAATCTTATTCTAAAGTTAAATTAGAGTTTAGTTTTATTTTGATATCTTTTAAGTTAGACCCCGAGTGGAGGGTCATTGTATTCCGAAGTACGGAAGTCATTGTATATAAAGAAAAAATAAAGGGTTTTGTATACCCTTCGTCTGTATCCTGTCTACTTACTACAATTAGTGAACATAGCTTTAGTAAGCTCTCTGTTCTAGTCAGGTCATTGTATGTTTCCGAAGAAGGTTAGAAGAAACATTGAACCTGATAAGGTGACCATTTCAATTTGCGTAGGTCCATCCGCGTTTTGAAGGAGAATCCTCCAGCAGTCGGATCCGAAGGTCTTCCCCTTCAGCTATCCTATTAACAGGACTTTCGAGTCGCCAACATTTTGAGTTACCCCAAACCGTAAAGATACAGTGGATGGACAATTTGCGTAGGTCCATCCGCGTTTTGAAGGAGAATCCTCCAGCAGTCGGATCCGAAGGTCTTCCCCTTCAGCTATCCTATTAACAGGACTTTCGAGTCGCCAACATTTTGAGTTACCCCAAGCCGTAATATACAGTGGATGGACAAAAATGTGGAAACACCTTGTGAAATGCATGTTTGAAAAGAAAGATTGATTTTAACGAAATATGTAGGTGGCGCTGGCGTTTTTGACTACTGACGCCACCTATACAACTTCGTAAATGTGCTAAACAGTTCAGTTGTTGTCGGAGTACTGTTATGTGAGGTTTTCATTGCATTATGTCAGAGTTAACAGACTTCGAACGTGGGCAAATTGTTGGAGCACGTATGGTAGATGCTTCCGTAAGCAAGGTAGCCGAGGGTGTTTAGTGTTTCAAGAGGTACTGTATCGAAGATTTATTCCGCATATTTGAAAAGCGGAAAAATATCATCTGCCTAAATCACAGCGCGGACGAAAGTGTGTCCTGAGTGATCGTGACAGACGATCATTAAGGGCAATTGTGACGAAAAATAAGAAGACCACAGCTGCAAAAGTTACTGCTGAAATGAATGGTCTGTTACCGAACCCTGTGAGTACCAAAAAAATTAGATGGGAGCTTCATAAACAGGAAATTGCTGGCCGTGCTGCAATGGAGAAGCCACTCATCAGTGATGCTAATGCCCGTAACAGGAAAAGGTGGTGTTTAAGTCATAAAACCTGGACTATAGAGCAGTGGAAGCGAGTAATATGGTCTGACGAGTCTTCTTTCACATTGTTTCCCACTTCTGGCCGAGTTTACGTCTGGAGAACGCCATCTCAAGCCTATAATACAGACTGCTTGTTGCCAAGAGTGAAACATGGCGGGGGTTCTGTTATGGTTTGGGCCATATCGTGGTTCTCTGCTAGCCCCATGATAACTGTGTCAGGGCACATGACTGCCAAGACTTATGTGAACATTTTGGCCGATCAAGTTCATCCCATGGTACAAGCTTTGTTCCCCGATGGTGATGGTGTCTTCCAAGACGACAAAGCCACTGTTCACACAGCTCACATTGTTCAGGACTGGTTTTCTGAGCACGAGGATGAGTTGTCCCATCTTCCCTGGCCACCACAGTCACCAGAACTGAATATTATCGAACTTTTGTGGTCTACATTGGAACGGAAAGTGCGTTCTCGTTATCCACCGCCAACATCGTTTTCTGAACTTGCCACCGTTTCGCAGGAAGAATGGTATAATATGCCCTTGGCAAACATACAGGAACTGTATTTATCCATTCCGAGAAGACTGCAAGCTGTTTTGGATGCCAACGGGTTTCCTACACCATATTAAGCAAAGAAACATGTTTTTTTAAAGGTGTTTCAATATTTTTGTCCAACCCCTGTATGTACTCAGAAACATTCCGCGCCTTCTCTAGATTCGAACCCGGGCCATATCATCTCCTGTGGGCCTAGATTTCACAATCTGCTGTTTTTCCACACAATATACTGTGATTACCTCTTTCCATCATATTTATCTCTAAAAATGAAATGATAAAAAAAAAATTAAAATATGGATATGGCTTTCGTATTTCACTGATTCAATGTTATTTTCTTCCATGTCAGATACACCATACTTCGGTTAAGCAAGATTTCACTAAGGCTCACAAACATAGCATTTAAATTCATTATTTCCCCCCTCCAAAGAAAACTGCGATCGAAGGGCTGATATAAACTAGAAAACATTAGTTCGTAATATGTCCAACTGATAAATTTTAAGAAATTTGCAGTTTGGTTTTACTTAATAAAAGATATATCGAACGCCATATGTTCATGTACTTAACGTAGAATATTCTTTTTAATATTTTTCATGTTTTACACTTTTTTAATTAATTTTTTATAACATTAAGCGCTTCTTTTATTTGCCAGACTGCGTTCTAAAATATTTAAGTTGCAAATTTAAAAACAATCAGTATAAATCCCCCCCCTTTTTTTTGTAAGAAACTTTTTTCCTTCATAATTCCGGGAAATAAATGTAAATATTTACAAGTTTTAATTCGCTTGTTCCGAATACAGTACTTTCTCATGTGATTGCAAGAGGTTTATTACAACTTACTCCCCGTCTTAAATTTTCAAAACGAAAGACAAGTTTTATATCGATTTCAAATTTTATAATTAAGTCAAAATTGTTTCCTCTTTTGTTATTGCTATTACACAAATAGCTACTAGTTGTAACGGGTTGTGGAGTTTTGTCTTTTTTGATAGCATAGACGAGAACTCTAAGACCTAAAATGAATTATAACTATGTAATGTAAAACAGAAGCCGAGAAAGGGTGTAAAAGCCACTTTTATTTAACTCAAATAGCAGCTTAAAATAGAAGGCATGCTTGTGCTTACAGAACAGCCAGCACTTATGGCTTAAAGCAAAGGAAATGAATCTTAGTCCAACGGATACACAGACAGAGAAACGCGCTCCGACATAAAGACCTCGTGACAAGCCAAATGGCGAGAATAATGCAACTTCGCAGAATACTGCTCTCAAGATAATGAATTCGGAAACGTGGCCTTCAGCAGGCTGAACATGCTCTGATTCTATCCTCTGAAACTCCCTTCAACTACTATCTCTTTTTCCCTTATTTGAATACACGCGAACTACAAATTTGTATTTAGCAGGAAAATGGAAAGCGAGAAAGACTGTAAAGTAAATTGGCATAAAATAACTGGTCAGTAAAACTAAACGAATCCTTGTGAGATTACTACAGAAAGACATCAAAATCTGCACCATTGCGACGATTATTTTGTGAAAAATTAAATGCTGGACTTCTAAAGCATCAAAAACAGCTGAAATACTCACCTGTAATCCGACTGATGTTAGGGCATTCCATGCCCGTGAAACCCGCAACGTGTGCCCCTAGTGAAAATCCAATGAGGTGATAATCCCGATACGTTAGCCCTCTCTCATAGTTAATCATTCGGATAAGGGCGGCTAACTGCTTGCCGACTAGCTGTGTATTAGCAGCTGCTTGTACATAGTTAGGGAGAGCAGAACCTTTTTCCCAGTCCACCACTATTACGTTCACGTCTTCCTGATAAAGATGGAAAGCAACATAAAAAACAAGAGAAAAATTTTGAGAAGCTGTCGTAATAATAATAGATAAACAAATAAATAAATAACAAAAATAGTAATTGTTTTAACCATGTGTTAGTAGCTTTTCTTCTCCTTTTTCATTAATTAATAATTCAAAATCAGGCAAATTGGAAGACTTTTAAATTTGATATTTTATACTAAAACTAAATTTATTGAGATTTATTAAAATGTAAAGGAAAAGAGAACGTTTAAAAACGTTCCGCTTCTAAATATTCAGGATGGCAGTCTCTCTATACCACTATTAAACAAAAGATAAAATAAAATAAAATATAAATAAATAAATAAATAAATAAAATAAACAAATAAAAATAAAATAAATAAAAATAAAAAAAATCTGAAAGGTTTCAGATTTTAAATTACGTCCAAAGGGGCGTTTTTTTAATGTTTTGTGTGTTACCTTTATTTATTAAATATCATGTTCTTTGCACTTGAACCATAAAATTCAGTTCAATAGCAATGTTACAAAATAATTTTAAAATGAGCCTATCTTTAGAATTTCCCATACACAGTTCCGCGCGCTGGAGATAAATTTTTTTTTTTTTTAAACCCCGTAGATTGTTGCCATTGCTCGCTTTCAAATTGTTGGGTTTGTTACTCAAAAATTCGTTTAATTTTTACAAAATATGATATCGATCATAAAACAAATTCCAAATTTCAAATTTGGACTTCCACATGTCCATATTCGCAGTAGAATCAGGTCATTCAAAATTCGATGGCTCTAGGTACCGTTGTTTTATCACAATGCAGGAAATATACATACATTTATGCAGATTTTTCATTATTTAATTTCTTCAAATATAACACAGGACTCTAACATTTGGTGGCAACAATTTGAAAAGTGATACGCCGTTTATAGTGATTCGACGAAAAATCGCAAAACGAAAACAGTAGTCCTTCAGGGACAAAGCCCCTTTGGACTAATAATTGTTTAACTTAATTAAATTTATTTAACTTATCAAGTGTCTATTAAATGCATAAAATTAAACTCAATTTCGCTATATCTAAATGCTAGTGTAATGTGTTAGCTTTCTAGTTAAATTATGTCTTTGCACCTGGGTTGACTAATATTGCGAACTATTACTTAGTATTCAAAGCAAAGAGGAAATTTAATTGGAAAAAATATATCTTAAATCAGACACAAATAGGGAAGTTTTAGATTGACCAACTGGAATTGCCAGTCGCTATTCTCTTAACTTAGATTCTTTTAATTTTTAAAACTCCTCTCATTTACATATTCCGACGAGCAGACAAAACAGTAGAAATATAGGAAAGATTTTAATATAAGCAATGTTAATTAAAATAAACTTTGCAGTCTTTCTTCCTTATCATAATTTAGGACTGTAACATTTGGTGGGAACAGTTTGAAAAGTGAAACGGATATTTATAGTGATTCAACGCAAAATCGCAAAACGAAAACAATAGTCCTTCAGGAACAAAGCTTTTTGGACTAATAAATATTTTTTATTACATAACCTTTTATTTAAAGCTCGTAAAATAATTAAAGACCTAAAAAATAATTTATCACTGAACAGGCGGCCTTGATAAGTTTTTAAAGATAATGATTTATACACTTTATAACGCAATTTGATTAATAGATTTCGTTATTTAAACGCGTATGTTGTTATTATTCATGATGTAAAATTGTAGATAATTTTTTAAGAGAATTGTATAATCTCTTATCCTTATATGATAAATAATTGTTTTTCTTTTAGTTCATAAATTATTGTACTTTTTTTTATTTTTATAAAAGTTTATTTTATAAATTAAATTAATTTTTATTTTATAATTTGTTTTCTTAATAACACATTATTAATCAAATTATTCAGTTGAAAAATCCATGTTTCAAAAATGAAAAATCCTTTCTTCAAAAATGAAGAATCAGTTTTTGATTTCCAACATCTGTCAAATAATCGAGCAAATCCAATACTTTTGCCAAAAAAACAGACGTTACGTTAAAATTTCTCATAAATTTCATTTAAAACACCTTTCCCCGTTCCATTCGATAGTGCAAACAGTAAATTTCTGGCATATTTAGTTCTTTTGCTATAAACGAAGATAAGTACGAAAAACCGTTTAAAAATTAAATTTAAAAAAAAATCTAAATCACTTCATCACATTTTATTGGCATCCACAAACAGTGTGTGTGGAAAATTTGAACTGAATAGCTTATTCGGAACAAGTTTAAAAATCGATGGCAAACTTTTGACCATAGCGACAAACACCAACAGTGAACTGCATACACGTTTATAGTAAAAAGGCTAATTTCTACTCTTTCATTTTTCATGAACTCAGTGTCTTCTGAAAACTTAAGCTCTTGCTCAAGAACTCAGTTATTTGAGTCTTGAGCAAGAGCTAATATTACTGACTCAGATTCCTGTTATCTTATTGTGATACAGCTTTTGCTTATTACCTCAGTATTCTTCCATTAAAAGAAATAACTGCCCTCTTATTGGCATCGAAATTATACAAATCAAAAATTGATCGGATGTTTAACTTTCAAGTTATTTGTTCTTCTGAGAAGAAAATTTATGTGTTAGTTCTTAAAATATTTCGCTTTCACATTTGAATTTTTGATGAATTTTTAAAAACTTAAAAAAGTTCTTTTCACTGTGTTCAAACATCGGTTAAAGTAAGACAGCTCTCAAGTTTTGCATTAAATAACATATATAAGAATCCAAAATTAATAAATTTTTCATTATTAATTTTTATTGAAAATCACAACTATCTTTTAATTCTTATTAATAAAATTATATTGAAAAGCTCCTTAATTTAGTACTTTGGATTTTCTTGAAACTAATTTACTTCACTCAACTTATGAATTTTACTTAATGATATTAATTTCCACGTTATCCCTTAAATGATTAAAAACTTCACTTCATACATTTACTTTCCATGCTATTTTATTTTGTTCAAATAGTGAAATTGCTAGAACCGAAAACAATATTTTAATCTTTTTGAAATTGCGAAGATGATGTACCTGACATAATCTTATGTGAATGGAATTATTGTAACGTATTCATATTCGGAGGTACTCACATCAGATTCTTTAGGAAAATGTATACCCGTTTTCCTAAAAATAACTGCCAAATTGAAACTGTTATTGTACTTGATTTTAATTAATCAAGTTTTGACACATTTTATATTTATTATTGTTACGAATTTTGTACATATACGAATAATTTTAGTGAAATTATATGGTAAATTGTTATATTTTTCTTTTTAACGCAGCATGAAAATCTAGAGGAATGATGTTCTGCCGGAAAAATACGATAACAAGGGCAAGTCTACTTAACATTGAGTAAATAGCTATCTCGCTAAGTTGGCGAGATATCGCCAAGCTGACAATGGTTTTAACAATTAATTTTATCGCCAAATTCGGCGAGAAATTGCTAAAAATAGTCAAATTTGGCGACCATTTGGCGACATTTGGGTACGGTCCGCAATAGGTATTATAATTGAATAAATGTAACCTAATTGGTCACTATATTAGCTGGAACCATATCTGGCCTTTATACGTCTTCCAGTAATTTCGAGAAGTAGAAAGTACTAGAAATATCTCGGCGTCTGGATGAAAAACTAAATAAGGCTGGAGAGAGCATTTACCCTCGGTTGTTGCTGTTAACTGTTAGTTTAGGGTTAGTTCAGAGTACTGAGATATCTATGGGTTAACTTTGTTCTTTAGATGCGCTTTGCATTGAGTTGGTGTTTAACGCTCTTAGTAGTTTGAAGTATAATTACTGACTGTACTTTGTGATACTGTGAACACCTGTGTGAATGGTTCTCTGAAAAGTTCCAGACATCTGAAGTTCTACTTTTGATAAAATAAATTTTATCAGCCTAAAATCGGACATGTGTGCATTAAATCTATTACGAACCCTTAAGCATGCAGCATTATTACATAATATGCTGTAAATAAATTATAATCACGAAAATTGGTAAAAAATTATGCAGCAGATTCTTAAATACTTGTCTCTCTCTCTCTTTAGCATTTCAAAAAAGAGACCTCGAAAGTATATTACTAACAGACAAGCAATTATTTTCTCTATTTACATTCAAGCATTTCCACTATTGATAAAAAAAATAATATTAACTTTATAAATCAACTTTACCAGTGCCAAAAGTGCTTCTGCCATCTGTAAAACCCACATCTTGCGGCCACTGCTCCCAAAACCATGAATGATGACTTTCACAGGATTACTACCGTTGAAATGAGAATAGTATAAAGATGAGCTGTTATCATACCATAGGAGTTCTCCATTCATTCTGCTTTTATTTGTGTATAGTATAAATTTTGTACCAATGGCTTCTGGGGAAGCGGGAAGCGTGTCCAGATAATCAAACGCACCTGAAGGGAAAAAAAGGGAACAAAAGTATAAGCAATGAACTTTTTTTTTATATATCATTTTTAAAATTGTAGAATATTCAGGTACAAGATATATCATTTAAATTATCATTTTATTTACAATTTCATTCACAATAATTTCTTTACTAAGTGAGAAATGGAAGGGCACTTCCATTTTTCAGTTAATAATAAGATGCTAAATAAAAGTTTTTAGCTTTTTAATCTCAAAACATATCATATCTTTATGCGGCCTGTCTTCCACCACACATGCGATCATATCGTGATTTTTAAAATGATATCATCTCGAAAAATTAATCTATGCTAAAACAGGAAATAAGATATTCTTGTTTGCAGTTATTTTTTTGTAACACATAAAATGCAAAATATTATTTTTGCAAAATACTGAACATGATGAGGATTACAACTACACAGTCACAGTCGAAGCCACGTGCCTTTTGGATGTGGCAAGATTAGTACAAAACTTAAGATATTATAACTCAAGCTAAGAAGAAAGTATTGGTACCTTGAAAGTATCTTTCCTCAAACTGTTTTCTTTAATTGATTATGTAATTTTTGATTATTTCTTTAATTGATTATGGAAAGCACACATGGTATGTTTGCCTAAGGGAAGAGATACCTTGGTGAAGGACTTTTTAAGCAAAATTAACTCATTCACGTTCTGCATGAAAAAAAATCCACGAACACGCCCATGTAACCACCTCATTTGCCGGCATTTGAACCCGGCTAAAACTCGCAGAGTTTATTATGTTATAATATGTACTTCAAGGTAAAAAAAAATGGCTTTCATTTCTTTTTTTTATGCATTAAATTACTATCTTAACCCTTTGAAGGCCCAAACGTCCGAGACGGCTGTTTATTCAAACGACTACAACCGCTCGAAACGCCCGAAATTGCGATGCTGTTTTCTTCCCTTCTCCTAACGAATGCAATAACAGGTGTACTTTCCTGAAATGCATTGTATCAGTTTACTGCAGACAGCTTGTCTTAAAAGGTAAATGGAAGCTTCTTTGTTAGGAAGTAGAAAGGATGTCACCTGAAATATTCACACCTCTTTGAGCATTAATGGAGGAGGAGGGGAAGAAACGGACGGGACGGGTAATAGACGGGGATGGGTGTTTCGATATTTTAAGCATACAGGTTAGCAAAGGCTTCGGTTTTCTTAGGGTTAAATGAGGGAAGAGTGGCTACAATCGTGAAGCGTCTTTAGCATCTTTTATCTGCATGTCCACTGGTAGGCATCTTTTGTTCAAATTTTATTTTTCATTTTTCTAGGCAAATTGCTATCGAAGCAAATTGCTAGGGGAAAATAATCAGAGAATTAAGAAAAACGTTTTTCCGCGATGTAAAACTTTAGTACGCAAAAGGAAATGAGATTTTTAAATGAAGAGAAATTATTGGCAAACAAGAATGCGCAGTCACACATAATTTAATGCGAAACGCTGGAAAACTTTTATTCTACCTTACTAACTTCTATATTTTTATTCATTTCCTTAGTCTTTCCTATATATTTTTTCAATATCATGCTGAGTGTCTCAAATTTACTCTCCAGCAGTGAACAAACATATAAAATGCGACATATATTTATAATCGGATAAAATCTTAAGGAAAGATAACTGAGAAGCAGAAGTTTACGCAGATAACTCATAGTAAATTATAAAGATTATAAAAGTGTAAATAACTAAGCTGGGCATTTCGTAACAATGTTTTGCATTAATACCCGTAACTGGAAGCATTGGAAAAAAAACGGTTAGCTACCTACCTTCATCTCTGAAGCAGCCAAATCCTCTGTAGCAAACAACTTCTTCTGCCCTCTTATGCACATGAGACTTGTGCGCTTTTCTTTTCTTCATTTCTTCCCATCGCGCCATCGATGAAACGATGGCAGACCACACTTCGTAATCACTTGGTTCATCTTCCACAGGTGTTCCATGGCTTGGATCTAGAGATGGCCGCGGTTCTTTGTGAATGGTGGACGCTGATGTTGTTGTTGCAGTTGTGAGAAAAGATGTACTAAAGTCAGCAGAACTTCCTCCTGAAGCAAACAGGACTGAAAAATATTAATATATCAATTTAGGAATAGAAGAAATAAAAGAATTCTAAAATACAAGTAGTGAATTAAAATTGCATGAGATTTGGGAACGCGAAAACACGTTATTATTTAACAGCCTTCATTATAAATACAGATTCAGAATTATTATGAATTCAGTTTTACATAATTAACTTTCAAGCCCAGTTACCTCCGTATATGCATGCCATTCAGTTATCATTTCAAAATATCTTTCAAGCGATAAAATGCAATTAATCTGCTTAAATAATTTTGTATTGAAATGTAATTATGATTCTGTAAGCATTGTTTCTAAATTTATATTATCATATTTATATGGTGCACAGTGAATGATTTATATTATCTTCTTTATTATGAAGTTACTTGAAATGTAAAAGCTAAATTTCATTGCTGAAAACGTAACAAGTATTGTTTAGGTTACGCGTACCGTCACATAACTTCGGATATAAAAGCCTTCCTCATCCTAGAATCCTTCGCATTTAGGCGAGAGGTGGAAAATCAGGCAAATATGCCACCTTTAGATTATTGTTATTTGCGTGTTTCGCCCTAGGGCACTGCACGGAAGAGAAGAAAGCCTTCGTGGAGGTCTTTCCGATAGAAACTGGCTCGTATTAACACGTTACACACGGGAAAAACCATGAAAACGATCATGCAGCCAGCCCGTTCGCAGACCTACCCAGTGTTCAGGAATTTTTCCGCTCGGCCGCTGGCGGGCCTTAAATATACCACCTTGGAGAGATTTTTTAATTTATCACTTACTGCCGCCAGTCCTGCACTTACCGGTGACAGACTTTACTGGTTTCTCCCTACCCACCACTCGACCCAGACCGTGGGGTCACCACTCCCGGTTCTCCAGTCTCATGGCGGGGTATGGCCTTATTGGACTGAAGAACTGACTAGTTGTCAATAATGTTTCTACTAGTGCTACAAGGACCGCCCCGTGAATTACACAGAATTCGATGAGGGGGGAGCAGGGGAATTACACAGAATTCAGTGGACAACGAAATATCCGCTGCACCACTACCGATACCTCTAGTTTGAGACTTACAATCAATCCCTCCCCCTTGTCCAACCGTAAAGATAACCTTCATTTGGGGTTCTGAAACGCCCTGCTCGTGTTTTTATCCCCCGGTGCCGAGACTGCAAAGGTACAAATCTGAACCAGTACAATAAACGACTGCCGGGGGGGGATGCAAGAGGCATGTCATTGTTTAATTTGATCTAGGACCCTGAAACATTTTATGGCTAAAAACAAAAGATTCCTAGAATGTGGACAGCACAAATATTCATGAATCGTAGAAAATACATGAACGCGGAAAAATACATGAAAGTTTGAAAGAAAATAATAAAATGTGGATCACACAGATATGCGAATCTATTATCATGATAAAAAATAAGAATTTTACTGTTGGTCATTTTGACATCATCATGTTTATTAAACCAATCTCGAATTATATTTAAGCTTTGCGGACCATTCGTTTGTCATTATTCTTTTACAAACCAGTATTCTCATTAGTTCTCCTACTACAACTTCGTGATCCCTTATTAAATAAATCTTTTAAAATTTTCTATTAGTTGTTATTTCATTCCCTTTCTTTCTCTCTCTCTCTAGCATTTTGTCATACATTAAACAGTATTTGTCGATAGCATTTTGTCATACATTAAATAGTATTTGTCGGCCATTTCTAAATAATAGGATTTTAATTAAATTTCACATTTGCAATTTAAAATAAATTACAGTTTCGATGAAAACATACAAAGGAGTGTAACTGAATATAAATAAATATCACCGATCATTTCAAATGAAGTAAAAGGAAAAACGATCGTTCCCATTTATGAAAATAGGAACAGGATCATGGGAATGAAGGTCAATCGGATGTATTCGTCCGCTGTTTTTTTTTTATTATTATTTTATTTTTTATCACCATTGGAAACTTCTTATCTTTAATTCCAAATCAGGATATGAAGCACCATAACGGTGACGGGAAGCAAAAGGTATGAGAAACTATTTAAGAAATATTTGCAGAGATAAAAGAGAAATCTTCTAAAGAATTGAAATGTCTTTTTATTGTTTTTATAGCTAGCAGATATAGGCTATAAAATTCCTACGTAACCAAGAAATCCCTACCTGAAGGATAATAAACGAAACGCACAATCTCTGTTTTGAAATCATAAATGCAGCACAAATCATTTCACTCATTATTAAGTATCATTAAGCATTGTGGATCATTAAGAAAAGTCACTAATATAATTTTTAGTCAAACATCACAAATCTGTGCTACTGTAGCACTATGAATCATACGTAAGTAGCCGGTTAAAATCGAAGCCGGGAGAAAAATGCCACTGTTGAGTGGTTTAAAATTCTATTAAATGCTATAAGTTGCCTTAATTTTCTATGCTTAAATTTCCTTCTTACGTTTTCAGCAAAAATTTATTATTTAATAAAAAATATGAAAGTAAAGATTATCCTTCTTTCCATTTTGCGCTCACAATCATTATGGAAATATCCATTTACAATTATTAAAGCCTGAAAAAAGCATGTCTGCGATGTTATCGTCATGCGATGATTTGTAGATACTTATTTTTTTACCACGATATTTCGACGACGATGTTTTTTAAACTCTGCGAAATTTTTGAAGAACCGCTTTATTTCGAACGACGATATTTTGTATCACGATTTTTCTCTTTGCGATGTGTTCTCCACGATGTTCTGTATCAACGACGTTTTCGCCTTGCGTTTTTTTTTCTCCGCGACGTTTTCGTCAGTTTTTGCGCGATGTACCGTTTGCAGAAGATTTTTTTAACTAGGGATGCGTGCTTTTGAGAAACTAGCTTCTACAAAAATGTTGTCGATCTTGCAATAAATTATTAATATAATAGTACTTTGGTGCTTGTAGTTTTTTTCGTCAGCGATGTTTTTGCCGCGATGTTTTCGGCTGTAACCGTTTGCAGAAGAGTAGAAATTTTTTTAATACTAGTGGATGCTGTGCTTTTGAGAAACTAGCTTCTACAAAAATAAATGCCAAATGTCTGTCGAAAATCAAATTGCAATAATTATTAATATAATATTACTTTGTGCTTATTATTTTTTGGCTTTTATTTTAAAAACTTTATTCTTAACTTTCTCATTTAATGATTTTTAGCATGTATTATTTTTTAAATTAACAGGAACTTTTATTTTTGTCTGCTTTTAGAATAGCAAAATCTTATAAATTTAATTTTTGAATTAATGTATAAAATTGTTTAAGGTTCAACAACTGCGGCTTTTAAAGAATCTTCAGTTTTTTTGTTTGGCTATCTGTTAAGGACGGTTGCTGATCTTGGTTAGTTGTTAAGAGCTTTATGCTGTTAAAACAGATAAATGTCAACATAAAGGCAATAGAGGTTCTAAAGTCAGTCTTACGAGCCGTACTTATGGAAACTGACGAATCATATATCGGTTTTTAGCTACTTCTACCACATATAACAGATGCAGATATATAAATTCCAAGTCAGGCTAGTTATGATTAAGAATGTCTAAAGCAATCAAATAAAACCTGCCTAAAATGATGAATGCTTTCGTGAAGGACTTCGAAAGGAAAAAGGCTCGTATTTTACTCAAACAAGGAGAAACTTAAAAGTGCTATATAAGCAAAGCTATCGACCACCGAAAATCACATCTAACGAACTTTCAAAATTTTAAAGACTTATAAAGATCCTTAGACACTGGGGGATCTTCAGATCTACGATAGAATTATAAATAAAACATTTCCTGAATACAGTTCTTTCATTGCAATAATATTGTTTTCCATAATGATTCTAACATACAATTTAAAGCATCTCCATTAGTATTACTTTCTATAGATTCAAGGATACATTATATAATACCTGAAGGTTTCTTTACGCTGTGTTAAACAGAAAATTAAAGTCTGCAAACAGCTAAATCTCTTCAGAGAAAGAAAATATATTCCAAGGAACATGCTAGCACTTTAACCGTGTGTGTAATTAGACTCAGTTTTTCATACAGAGAAACTGATTGCTATCATAACTTCTTAATGTTTTTTTCCAGTATTTTGGATTCCTATTTTGTGGTACCGTAAGTTATTTTTCCTTTTAATACATATGAACAAATCTGGAAACTCTTGAATAACTAAACATTTATAAGATATAACTATTTTTTCATACAAGATATAATTAAAATTTCTCTGCAATTCTCAAACATTACCAGAGAGAGAGATGCATGTGATACTTAGAATCCCCCGATGCTATATACACTCTTTTGCAAAAAAAATCGAAGCACCAAGAAGAACTTTTGCGATCATGACGAAATTTGGTATGCAAAAACATCTTGATCGAACATGCAACTGATCAAAGTTTCAAGACAAATGAACAGGAACTGCAATTATAGCGCGCATTTCTAGTGCGCAATTCGCAAAGTATAAAACCAGTAACAGAGGCGGAAAATTTATCTTTTTTTGGTTGCTGCCATTGTAATTCCGTAAAGAAGCTACTAAAGATGCCATTACGACAATATCGAAGACCTACAGACAACTAAACGACTCAGATTTAGAGCGGGGGCCCACCAGCGGCCGAGCGGTAAAGTCGCTGAACACTGGTAGTTCGGTCCGAGGTTCGAATCCCGCGAACGGGCTGGCTGCATGGGTGTTTTCGTGGTTTTCCCCAAGTGTAACGTGTATACGAGCCAGTTTCCCTTAGAAAGGCCTCTACGAAGGCTTCCCTCCCCTTAAGCAGATAGCCCTAGTGTGCTTTGCCATAATTAAATACATCACCAGATTTAGAGCGACAACTGGTCGCATTGTAGGGTTGCGTGAAGCTGGGTGGTCATACCGAGCAATAGGCCGCCACTTGCAGCGTACAGACACTGCTGGTGCAAAGATGTTGGCAGCAAAGGTTGCTACAAGGAAATTACCGACGAAATGAAGGCTCTGAAAGACCAAGGAGCACAAATGCAAGATAGGATAATTGTTCGCAAGGCCCAAACCGA